TGGCATTTGTGCCCTATACATCTTTCGATTTGCACGAAATTTGGCACAGCGAAATGAATTAGGTCTAGAATGATGTGTGTTAAGTTTCCCAAAGTCCCTATATATCTTTCGATTTGGCCGAAGTTAATTTTCCTGAAAATCGGTTCAGATTTAGATATAGCTCCCATAAATATTTTCGTCCGATTTAAGGTAAATGTTGTACCAAAGTCCCTATATATCTTTCGATTTGCACGAAATTCGGCACAGCGTAATGAATTAGGTCTAGAATGATGTGTGTTAAGTTTCCTGAAAATCGGTTCAGATTTAGATATAGCTCCCACATATATATTCGTTCGATTTAAGGTAAATGGTGTACCAAAGTCCCGATATATCTTTCGATTTGCACGAAATTCGGCACAGCGTAATGAATTAGGTCTAGAATGATGTGTGTTAAGTTTCCTGAAAATCGGTTCAGATTTAGATATAGCTGCCATATATATTTTCGTCCGATTTAAGGTAAATGGTGTACCAATGTCCTTATATATCTTTCGATTTGCACGAAGTTTGGCATAGACTACTGAATTAGGTATAGAATGATGTGTGTTAAGTTTCCTTAAGTCCCTATATATCTTTCGATTTGCACGAAGTTAAGTTTCCTGAAAATCGGTTCAGATTTAGATATAGCTCCCATATATATTTTAGTCCGATTTGCACGAAATTTGGCACAGCGTAATGAATTAGGTCTAGAATGATGTATGTTAGGTTTCCTGAAAATCGGATCAGATTTAGATATAGCTCCCATATGTAATGAAAATGTTTTCGTCCGATTTAAGGTAAATTGTATACCAATTTGTACCGATTTGCCCAATATTGAGCATGACATATTGAATTAAGTCTAGAATGATGTGTGGTAAGTTTCGTGGAAATCGGTTCAGTTTTAGATATAGCTCCTATATATTTTTTCTTCCGATTTTATGTAAATTTTGTTCTAAAGACCCAATATTTGTCCGATTGCCACACAATTTTGTAAAATGAACTGTAGTTAATATAAATGAATCTGTCAAGTCTCGTTGAAGTCGGTTCAGATTTAGACATAGATGGACCAAACTTCTCATATTTATCAAATATTTATCGAAATAACAAACGGGTGTTCGATTTATATTTTTTTAAATAGTTTTAAATAAATTTACATAATTTTGTCCCTTTGTAAGGAGCAACTCTATAGGTGAGCAAGTGAAACATTTAGTGTAGGTTGCAGAATGACATGTTTACGGTTCCAATTTAATTTTACTGGTCCTTTAAAAATGCGACGTCTGTTATGATTCATCTGTTGAATATACCCAAAGTGGTGAAGGGTATCATATAGTCGGCTCCGTCCGACTTTACTACTTCTTATTGATTTTTATTTCAAAATGGATTCCAAACCTGGTTTTTACACTGAGATCTTGTTTCCCGATCTTTTTTCGGATTAAATATTTAAGACGCAAATTTTGTAATATTTCACACAGTCTATATATTAGTCAAAAATTATTTGATTTAAGGGAACCACCCCCCCCCCCCCCCATTCTCGATTTTTTATTTTTAAGATTTTAAATGGGCTGGTAAATGAATACCAATGCTTGTTAAGGTTTGTAACTTGGCACATATATATTTGAAGATTTAAAAAGGAAGGAAAATAATTTACCAAAATTTTTTGTTGTTGTTTTGTTGTTGTTTTTTGGGTTCAAAGAAAAGTCCTTATTTTCGATGGCGGGCATGATAACTCCTCACTGGAACATCGGAATCCGAAAATTCCAACTGTGTTAGAAAGAGGAGATGTCTGGCTCTCGTATGAACTAGGATTATTGACTTCGCACAACAATTAACAAAATGGCGGAACTTTGAAAATTTTTTTATGGAAAATCGCCTATTTTTTACCACAAACTAAGTAAAAAAATAAGGAAGATCTTCACCGATTGGCTTTATCCTAGTTCATACGAGAGCTACACACTCCCAGAGAAACGTGTCAAAATTTGAAACCGATTGGATTACTAGTTTTTGAGTTATCGTGCCCGCCATTCGTTTTGAGAAAAACGCGTTTAAAGTTTGAGAAGCCCTTTAGCCGTCACTTGATGCTGACACAATAAATCGGCTATATCTTCAAGAGTTCTTGAGATTTTTACTTGAAATTTTGTAGGAACATTCTAGAATTAGAGTAGATTCGAATTAAATCAAAAAAAATTTTGACACCGAGAATGGGGGGTCCCCTTAAACTTTTTTATAAAGAAATTTCAAATTTAAATTTGTAGCATACTTTTAGGCGTTCGAATTTTTATGTTAGTATGGAGTTTCCAGATTATAATTTTTGTTTTTGATCAACATTTTTATATTTTGACGGGCAACTTGCTATTTTATTCTGGTAGCAAAAGGCTGAGGCTGGTATACAAATAATGAGGATCTTCACCGATGGCATTTTTCGCAGGTCATTACAATTTTTTGAATTAACGTCAATCGCAAAAACACGCCTTAAATAAAAATAGAAATATTAAATTTCAGTAGTGTTGGCGGGTTATTTGGTATGTCATTTGTATTTTGTTTTTGCAAAATAGTCAGGCTGAATCCCAGTTTGTTGTTTTTATAAAAAACAACTATTTATTCTCATTGGGGTCGTATCTCTGGTGACGTAAGAACTTGGAATTGTCACAAGAGACATTTTGGGTATGAAAGGTATTTTGTAAAGAAGCAATAAATAGCTTATGGGGAGAATATCCCAACAAAACACTAAGGGCGGATCAGTGGAGAGATCCGAAACATTAGTCTTCTCTGCCTTACCCCTCGGTGGACAATGCCATACATACCCCACTAAATAATAGTTCTTTTTATAAAAACAACAAACTGGGATTCAGCCTGACTATTTCGCAAAACAAAAATATTCAATTCTTATGAAACTGATGGGTATTTATCATTAATTTTGGTTTATTTCAGTGTTCGAAAATTTGTTACAAGTTTCACAAAAAACCGATCATTCACCTTGCTATTTAGATGGAATATTTCTTAATTTGTTTTTTGATCGAATTGTTGATAGGCTTTTTTTGTGGACATTTTTGGTATCTTGTTATGGAGTATTTTACCAAAATCGTTGTTCGTTTTTTGTCAATCGTTTTATGTCCCACAATATTTACAAGCCAGGCACATATGTGTTATACATACATATATATTTACTTGAAGTGTTGAAAAACAATTAATGAATGCTTTTAGTAAGACAAAAAAATATTTTAAAATGTATCTTAATTTTATTAACATAAAAAATGCACACAGTACAGTAAAAGCTTATTTATAAATGCATATAAAAATACAATAATTTCAATATTTAGATTTACACAAATATGGGATATTTAGATCATAACATGTTTCTTTGAAAATTGTGTATATTAAAGATTCGCAGAGATCACATCGATGGGCGGCATTATTTTATTTAATTTTAATTAAATTTTTATTCGGATCACAATGAAATATTCTTTCACTTATAGATATTTTTTGAATAACCTCAAAAATGTAACTAATCTAGAATATTATTTATTTTATTTGGGTGTGACACAAGTATTTTTAGGTGTTATTTTGTAATTAACATAATTTGTTCATTGCATTTACATTTAAAATAAATTTTACAATTACAATTCTTAAAATAAAAAAAAAAATATGACAAAAAATTACTTAAGAATACAATTAAATTATTTTTAAAGGGGATTACAAATTAAATATTCGAAACATAAATTATTGTATACAAAATGCTACTATTCTTAAAAATAAAATTCGATTTCTAAAACTAATTTAGAAATATGTCCACATTCAAGTACTTCGTTCCGCGGGTTCTGCAACACCAAAGGCCGATATGAAAACATTTACCACCGTTACAACAAAAATACCAATAACAGTATAATTATTGATTTTATTTGCCCGGCAAATGTCCCGCTCATTTTTAATATTGTATTTACTATTCAGAATTAGGCCAACGCCTACGGCAATCTGAAAAGAAGACAAAAAAATAAAAATTTAATATAATCAATACATATCATCTTGGACACACACACACACACTCACCTGAAATACAATACTCAATGAAATGAATACCAAACTGGGATAATAATATGGATGGCGACCATATGATTCCAAAACATAACGCAATTGATTGGCATTTGCCGATAATAAGGCCAAATCCATCATACCCTGGGCCAAGGTTTTCTTGTGTTGATAGGCATTGACATCAGGTATGGGGGTATCCACACCATTGATTGTTACAAAACCGGGACCATCGTAGCCGGGAAAACTAAAACTAGGACGTCTTGAAGGTCTTTCGGGTTTTCTGTCGGCCACACCATGGCTCGTATCACCACCACCACCGCTGCCACCATTTGGCAGTAGTCCATCATCAACACCACTTCTGGGTCCTACAGCAAAAGGACGATCATCAAAGTCATCTTCATCAGCCTCAGATACTTTTTATATGGGGAAAGTATAAAAAAATTGCAAACAAAAATAGGAAAATAAGCAAAAGGTATAAGGAAAACAAAAAAAACTAGCCATTTGCTAAATTCGAAATAACAAGGGAAAGTGTTAAATTTGTTTGTGGTTTACTTACTTGTTTTGGGTACGTTTGGTGCTCTACCATCAATGAAATCAATATCTTCTGGAGGAAATGTTTCTGTTGCCTGAAATTAATAAAAAAATAAAAATGTTCAGTTTGTCAATTAAACAAAATAAAAAATAATTAAAAACCAGTGAGCGGAGCAGTATAGTCGGACGGGGCCGACCATACAATACCCTACACAACTTCCATGAAAATCTAAATTTCTGTGGTTCTATATCCAGAGATTGGGCAATATCTCGCGAAATTTGCACACTTTTGACTGGCTAGAGGTCAACAAATGTTACTAATAATCAGTAAAGCCTCTCTAATTACTAGTCCAGATTCTCTTCACAGTGAGTTGTGGTGTTGTGATGTTCGGCTTTCGACTCGAAAAGTACAAGTAAGTTTTCGGTTCACTTCATCCGAGTACCTACGACAATATAATTTGTATCAATTTAAAGGTCAATCACTCCCCTTGGATATATTATAAACTTCTCGGGTCTATGTCCCTCAGTGGTAATTATATACGCTATAGAATACAAATTTCGTAATTTTTCACACAAACGTTAGGGTCCATTTGACCCGCTAAATATTGACCGATCTTTATCAAAACAGGCATGCTGATTATTTGGCCCGATCCCCTTCGCGGTGTTTGGGCCATAATTGCGGTCTCTGGAGCGACCAGAACTTACTTACTTACTTAGCTGGCTTGTTACAGAACGGTTGTTCCATAAGCCGAGCTTAAAAAAGATTTCCAAGCGCGTCGGTCTTGTGCGCAAGTCCACCAATTTGGAAGACCACGTTCCAAGAAGTTGTTTTCTACTTGGTCTTTCCATCTGATTCGTGGCCTTCCCCTTCTACGGGAACCATCAGTAGGCTCATTTTTATATACCTTTTGAGCTGGGGCATCTTCATTCATCCGCACAACATGGCCTAGCCACCGTAGTCGCTGCAGCTCAATACGACTTACTATGTCGATGTCCGCGTATAAATTGTAAGGCTTGTGGTTCATTCGACGCCCATATTCACCGTCGACGCAGATCGGCCCGTAGATCTTTCGGAGAATTTTTCTCTCAAACACCCCAAGAGCTGTCTCATCTGCTTGCGCAAGTACCCATGCTTCTGATCCATATAATAGCACGGGTAGCATCAGCGTCTTGTAAAGTGTGAGTTTGGTCTGGCGGGAGGTGGCCTTGTTTCTAAACTACTTACTTAGACCATAGTGGCATCTGTTGGCCATCACAATCCTTCTCCGAATTTAAAAACTGATGTCATTCGTTTTATTTATGGCGGTACCAAGGTATATGAAGTCTTTAACTACTTCGAAACTGTAGTTCTCAAGTTCCACAGTTGGTCCGAGTCTACTGGACGTCTTGCGCGTTGATACCATCAGCTTGGTCTTCTCGCCGTTTACTGCCAGACCCACTTTGGCAGACTCCTTTTCAATTTGTTCAAAGGTGGCTGTTACCGCTCGCAGTGTTCGACCCATTATATCGATGTCAACGGCGTAGGCGAGTAACTGGTGTTGTTTGGTGTACAGAGTGCCATTTCTGTTCACCTTTGCGTCTCGTATGGCCTTTTCCAATAGGATGTTAAAAAGATCACACGACAAACTGTCACCTTGTCTGAATCCTCGTTCGGTATTGAAGGGCTCCGATAGGTCCTTTCCTACTTTAACGGCTGACCTTGTGCCACTTAAAGTTATCCTACATAGCCGTATTTATTTTGCAGGAATGCCGAACGCAGACATGGCTTTAAACACCTCTGAACGGATAGGGCTGTCGAATGCGATGTGTTTTTCGTGGGTCTTTTCCAGGATTTGGCGCAGAGTGAAAATCTGGTCAATGGTGGATTTGCCGCATTGGTATGATCCGATGATGTCATTGACCATTGGCTTCAATCGTTCACACAGCACACTGGATAGCACTTTATATGCGATGGGAAGGAGACTTATTCCTCTATAGTTGGCACATATCGTTTTGTCTCCTTTTTTGTCTGTCACCAGGTTTCCTTCTTCATCTCTACAGGAGGATGTGCCTGCACCAAAGCCTTCGGTTTGGTGTTTTACTCGTTGGTAAAATTTCCGGACTTCATTCTGACTCCTGTACATCTCGATTTGCTCACGCTCACTCACGAAGCGACCAGAAAACCCGACAAAAATAAAGTTTTTGGTCCATTTCATCCCCTAAATATTAACCGATCTTTTCCAAAAACAATAGGGATCTTCATTGGCCACAACCCATCCTACATGCAAAATATCGCGAAGATTGGTCCATAACTGTGACCTGTATCGTGTTTAAAAATTATAATGGACGACGGACACACATGTCTAGATCGACTCAGCTCCAGGACCAATATTTCGCGGCGTTACAAACTTTTGGGGCTGCACAAATCTATAATACCCTGACAACATATTTGTGTAGGGTATAATAAAGGGTAAAAATAATTTAAAATTAAGGGTTCTCTACCCTCATTATCCCACCGAAGTGGTTGTATAGCAATGGATTAAAGTTTTCTTCAAAAACTAAATATTTTAAATATTTTTTTTAACAAAGCGCGTTTACCCGACTTATTGAAAGGTATTTGTTATATATTTGTATATCTGATGACGTATAACAGATGACGATTACAACAAAAATATATAAGCTATACGTATAAGTATTTACAAAATCTATAGACACGTTCGGTGCTTTTTTAAGTCAGTCAATCACATTGTTTTTTTATTGATCGTGAAGCCTTCAAATCAGATAGACTTGGTCTCACAATAGATGACTAATTTTTAAGCCACACAAATATGCGAAAACTTCACGAAGCAATTTGTTGTTTAAATTTATGTTGTTGTATTTGTTGTTTACATCATAAAAAAAAATGTTTCGCTTTTATTTCTATGTACTTTAAGAAGCATTGTTTTCTTGTATTAGAACCATTTTTTATAAACTACTGGACGTCGCAGAGATCAAAATAATAAATCATGAGATATAGAAGTATTGGCGCTGCAAAATGTATGTACAGAATTATTTATTTATTTATTTTTTTTTTTTTGGTTTCTTTAAGATAAAAATATTTTTTTTTTTCAATTTCAATTCTCAAGCTTTAAGTTCGAATAAATGACAACTTGAATATGGTTTACTATTCTCGACTCAATTTATCGGCATTGAAATTATATTCTCAAATAGGAAACAATTGCATTCTTCAAAGACTATCACAGAAATACTGTGGAGAAATACGACCATGTCAAATTAATTCGAGAACTAATTGTCATTGCATTACATGCAATACATCTTATGAATAATACATTGCAAATTCAATAAATTATAGTAATTACATTATTTGAAATTCAGATAAATATTTTTTATTTCGATGTATTATTTATATGTTTCAAAAACAAAATTTAATAATATTTTTCATTAAGAAAATTGTTTTTGTTTGAAAGAAAAAAACAGTTTCGTAAATCTAAAAATGAAATTGTTTTCTGTTTGAGAAAGAAATCAAAGATATTTTATAATGAGGAAAATGTCTTCTTAGAAGACAATCTTAAAAACCAGTGAGCGGAGAAATATAATCCGGACGATAGTTTCACCCTCAAATTAAAACCAGTGAGCGGAGCAGTATAGTCGAACGGGGCCGACCATATGATATCCTACACAACTACCACGGAACTCTAAATTTCTGCGGATGTTTATTTCGAGCCTGGGCAAAGTTTCGTAATATTTGCACCCTCTTCACCGATTAGAGATCAACAGCACTTATTCCTTACACTGACATATCTTCCGAATATTCCCAATATTCAATATTCACCGTGGGCTTTGTTGTGATGTTCGGATGTTCTGCTTGCATTTCGACTCGAAAAAAAAAAACAAAAAAATAAGTTTTCGGTCACTTCATCCCAAATTTTGTATGTGGTCATCACCGACAATTATAGGCGTTGTCCTTGACTATACCTGGATCCTCATGGAACATTTCAAAGCGATCAACTCTATATTTCCGCCCTCTAGTGTGGTAATGAGTTACTAAATAATATATTAATACGTAACATCCTTTAAAAATGTATGTGTAACTCCCACATCCGGGTACATACGACAATATAATTGGTATAGATTTAAAGGTCAACCACTCATCTTCGATATATTATCAAAATTTTGGGTCAATGTCCTTCAGGAGTAAATATATACGCTATATATACGCGGGTCCATTTGACCCGCTAAATATTGACCGATCATTATCAAAACAGGCATGCTTATTCTTTGGCCCTATCCCCTTCTCCCTGGCCCTGTTTGGGCCATAATTGCGACCTCTGGAGCGACCAAAAACCCGACAAAAATTTAGTATTTGGTCTATTTCATCACCTAAATATTAACCGATCTTTACCAAAAACAATAGATGTTTGTGCCATAATTGCGGCCTCTGGAGCAACCAGAAAAACCGACAAAAATTTAGTATTTGGTCCATGTCATCCCCTAAATATTAACCGATCTTTACCAAAAACAATAGGGGTCTTCATTTGCCAGAACCCATCCTACATGTAAATTTTGGTGAAAATACCGAAAATTTGGTAATGATGTTGTATGAGGGCTATACAAAAAACGGGGACCTATATTAGAAATTTTCTGCGATGAAATTTTTATCCAATAAGAACAGGCAATGGGAAAATATAGTCCTTTGGTTGAAAAAAAAATAAATCTAAGACTACAAAAATTGTTATAATGTTATATGCGGGATATTTATATGGGGATTATAACATGGGTTGTATATTAAAACCAATATTTATAATTTCGGAAGGATGATCTGAACCCAACATGTTATTATATTCAATTCAGTGCCTTCTCTTCAAGGCTGGTGGACATATCCTGGTCAGGAGCATGCACCAGCTGAATAGTACAATTTGGATAGAGGAATTCATGCCCCTATGTTCGGCACCTCAGCATCCTGTGCCCCGTGTACAAAAAGGAGACAAGACGATATGTGCCAACTATAGAGGAATAAGTCTCCTTCTCATCGCATATAAAGTGCTATCCAGCGTGCTGTGTGAACGACTGAAGCCAATGGTCAATGACATTATTGGAACATGCTAATGCGGCTTCAGACGTGTCAAATCCACCATTGACCAGATTTTCACCCTGCACCAAATCCTGGAAAAGAAATACACTACACATTCCACCTATTCGTCAACTATAAAGCCGCATTCCACAGCCCTATCCATGCAGAGGTGTTTAAAGCCATGTCTGTGTTTGACATTCCTGCAAAATTAGTGGCACAATTTCAGCAGTTAAAGTCGGCTAGGACCTATCGGAGCCCTTCAATACCGAACAAGAATTCAGACAAGGTGGCAGTTTGTCGTGTGATGTTTTTAACAGTAGACTCGGACCAACTGTGGAACTTGAGAACTACAGCTTCGAGGTAGTCAAATATTTTATATACCTTGTGCCGCCATAAATAAAACTAATGACATTAGTTTTGAAATACGGAGAAGGATGGTGTTGACCAACAGATGCTACTATGGTCTAAGTAAGCAGTTTCGAAAAAAGGCCACCTCCCGCCATTCCAAACTCACACTCTACAAGACGCTGATACTACCCGTGCTGTTATATGGATCTGAAACACGGTTACTTATGCAAAAAGATTAGCCAGCACTGTTTGAGAGAAAAATTCTCCGAAAGATCAAAGGGCTGATCGGCGTATGGGATATCGCCGTCGAATGAACCATGAGTTGTACCAGCTATTCTCGGACTTCGGCATTGTCAGACGTATCGAGCTGCAGCGGCTACGTTGGCTAGGTCATGTTGTAAGAATGGATGAAGATGTCCCAGCTCGAAATGCATATAAAAGCGAACCATCTGATGGTTCACGCAGAAGTGGATTTCCACGAATTAGATGAAAAAATCAAGTTGATGATAACATTGCCGAACATGGTATTTCAGATTGGAAAAACTGCACAAAAGACCGACGCGCCTGGATTTTTTTAAGTTCAGCTTATGCAACGAAAGTTCTGTCACAAGCCAGCTAAGTAAGTATCCAATTCAGTAGAAAAAACATGTCTTAATACTAAAATTTTTGGTATAACTATATGGAGACTACGCCAAACTGTGGATCGATGCATCCCATTTTTAATACCACCTAATATTTGATAGCAGTTAGAGAATTTTAAATCAAATTTTTAATCAAACCCTGTAAAACTTTGGGTAAACACAAAATATGATCCTAAAATTTTTATTGTAATCTACAATAATAAAATAAATGTTTTCCTCTAATGAATTAAATAATCGGACAAACTTTAGGTATTTTAGATACCATATCTAAATATGTAATCTAATCTTAACCGATTTCAACACGTGATTTTTGATGTACCTAATTCGAGGCTGCGACCTGTATGTAAATCTGAATCGATTTTTACAATCTCAATCTCATCTGAGTTTAACATAAATGGTATGAGTCATTTTAGTTTTGTATTTAAAAAATGTATTAATTCACATTATAAAAAAAATAGAAACCATACCTTGGATAATTTTCTAACAAAAAAAAAAAAAAACTTTCTTCAATGCCAAACCATTTGCAAGAATTGGGAATTTACCCTTTAATATTTGCGGTAGTATGCCGGTGAGTCAAACCGGTTAGGATTTATTTTTGTTTGTATGTCTGTCAATGAAGCCATTGAAAGACCAGTCAATAAATACACACAAACATCCACAAATTGTGATCCTCAATATTTTGTTGTAAAAATAATAGGCACAAGACAAGAAAATCAACAAGCTTTCTAAAACTAATTTATTACTGAGCTAATAAAACATTTTACAAAAATGAAACCCGCTTTTAATATTCAACTTACATGATGATCGATATTTGTATCCAACGGATTGTCAAATTCATAATTTAACTTGGATTCATTCATTTCCAATGCAATGTGAGGTTCAGATGTTTTGTGATTAGCCATATTGGTTGTTGTTTTTTATAGAATTTTGTTTTTTTTTTTCTTGAAAGATGAAATTTTTATTTACTCCTTAGAATTTCAAATAGAAAATATTTTATTTGCACTTATCTACTCGCAAAATCTTTTATGTGTATAATTTTGTTATGTTGCGGTTAGTCTGGCAGTTTATTATACAATTTTATCACAATTTTGTTTTATATTTTCTTTGTTATAATTTATTTTTATTTATTTATTCTTTCACTGCAAGTTAATGAATATGTTTATCAGTATACATATACAAAATATATTATTTATAAAATTAAAAATTCAATTAATTTGCCGGTTCACAGTATTCGCTATAGCTTTCGTTTTTATTTTTTTTTTTATTTTAGTATTCAAACCGTCCGGCTTCGTTGTTCTTTGCACCGTTTTTATTTTAGTATTAAAAACGTCCCGCTTCGTTGTTCTTCGCACCGTACAACTTTTCCAACTGAGATCTGGGCTGCTGGTTTGTTTACTTTTAAATTCAGATGCCTATTGACAATATCTTTAATGGGGATTTACTCAGAGATTGTTTTAATAAAACTTGAATCTTTTGTGAGATTTTGAGAAACTCTCTTAGCTGTGTATAATAATATGCTCTTAATTTTATTTTAGCATATATTGGGCTGGTGAAATTGTCATTGTTTTTTATTTGTATTATTTTGGTATGATATACACTGAATGTTTGAAAATGTACCAAATGAGGTAGTTTTCTTAACGAGTACCTATACAAAAAAAAAAAAAATGAATTAGTCAATGTGGTATACATTTACGGTTAATCCCCCCTAAGAAGCCGGTAGTACTTTTTTGCCAATACCCCACAAACATGGTCAAAAAATTTGTTCTTCCCTGCAACAATATTAGATTGTATTTCACATTATTAACATACAGATGATGATTGCTGCATAGGTACTACTAATGACAAATCTAAAATTGGATCCGTTTTTTTAAATATTTAATAGATATTCGGCAAGAATGTACATTGGTTTCAACAATAACTTTATGAAATTTAAAAAATTTGTAAAAATTAGAATTTTTTTCAATATTTAATAGAAATTCGGTAAGAATGTACACTTGTTTACTGCGATAACTTTATGAAATTGAAAAAAATTTGTAAAAATTAGTAATTTTTTCTCAAAAATTAGGAACAAAACGAACAATCTCAATTGTTAAAAACGTCGTTAAATTCGGCCAACCTTAACATTTTATGCCCTCCACCATGAGTTAGGCCTTAAAATACTTAAAACCGATTGGGGCTGCAATGAGATAACGAAATACGAAACTGCCGACACTTAGTTTTGAAAATTTGACTAGGAATTTGAACATGTCTGAACTTCACAAAATATTCAAAATTGAGGGAAACCGTTAATTATGAACGTGACCACCCTCCGCAGAAAAGCAACATTTGAAAGGTCCAGCTATATATGGGGTCTACCCTAAAAGGTAGACCAATATTATTATTTATTATTTTGTGAAATAATTTAACACCCAATGATAACACAAAACTTCAAATTTCAGCCAATTTTGTTGAAAATTTTCCCAAAGTATCGATTATTTGAGGGTACGATTATATGTGGGATATACTAAAACGTTGACCGATATATACCATTTTACACAACTAAGTTCAAAATTTCAAAGCTCTATCTATCTTAATATTGGACATCAATAACACTGTGCAACACAAAAAAACAATTACCGCGAAATTCCAACAGATTATGAAAGAGGGGCTAAAAAAAGATGACACTTGTATCGGCGTTTTGAGAGTTTACGTCGGGAGTTAACCAAAAAAGGCGGGGCTATATTCCCCCTTTTCAAGAATTTTGATAATTTTCGAATTATGGTTTCTTGAAACCCTTGCATTTTAGGTATATAGTGTCTTCGGCAATATTACTGATAAAATATCGACGAATATTTTGGTCTGCAACTTTAACCCTCAACCGAGTCATTAAAGGGGTCTTTTCGGTCCCCTTTTCCAGAAGTGATTGAAAACTCATTCATTTTAGGGTTAATATCGTACTTATTACTAGTTTTTACCTATTTTTCCCACAAGATGTCGTTTTAGAATATTCTCCATCAATTTTTAGCATAAGTCACTGAACAAGAGAAATCTGTATATATAACGTATATACCGAATATATAGTCATACATTTTGAACCAAAAATTCAAAATGTTCTTGTATTTTTTTTTCAAAGACATTTCCCAGTATTTTTTCGACAAAGTGCATTAAAGTAGCATGAAACTTAATTCTAGGCATATAATGTCAAAGAATAAAATATTCTACGTCAAAATCCACTTCAAGTCTCAAGTCCTTCTAAAACGACATCTAGTGGGAAAAATAGGTAAAAACTAGTAATAAGTACGATATTAACCATAAAATGAGTTTTTGTTTTTTTAAGATTTTTGACGTTTAGGCTGATTTTTGAGTCTATTCTGAGACTTATAGTAAAACATTATGGCGAACATTTCTGTAGAATATTCTGAGCAGCTTTAACCCCGTTTTGAATATTGCCCCGCCTTTTTTGGTTACCTCCCGACGTAAACTTTCAAAACGCCGATACACGTGTCTTCTTTTTTTAGCCCCTCTTTCATAATCTGTTGGAATTTCCTGGTAATTATCAAACAAATTCAAATTTGTCGCACAGTGTAATATTAGGTTGGGGAAAAAGAAAACCATTATTTTTATATGAACTAATATATTAATTTTTTTATTATGCTTCGGAATGTCCGATTTGAGCCAAATATTCACCGTTTTGTTGTATGATTTATTGTCATTTTAAAGGCAACTTCATAATGCCTCTCTCATAGAAGTCCTGCTCTTTATTTGCAAAAAAAACTTCTTACAATCCTCCCTAGATACCAATTTTTTATCATAAAAGAAATTTAGCAACGCAAGAAAAATATGATAATCGCTTGGTGCCAAGACCGGACTGTATGGCGGTTGCATTAAAACTTCCCAACCAAGCTCCCGAAGTTTCTGGCTAGTCACTGTAGATGTGTGAGGCCTAGCGTTGGACAATTCTGGCCCTTTCTGGTCAATTTGTAAATGGTTTTATGGTCGATTTTTAGTTCCTGGACGACGTTTCGACTGCTAACATGTCGGTCAACTTTGATCATTTTTTCGATTTTATCAACATTTTCGACGCCCGGCCTACCTGTGCGAGGTGCATCTTTAACATCAAGAATTCCAGAATGGAATCTACGAAACCAAAATTGCAGTTACAGTATTGGAACCATAAACACCATTGACAATTTTGACGCTTGGCTTGCATTTTCGCCTTTGTCAAAAAACATTGTAAAATGTACGGAATTTTCTCTTTGTTCACTTCAATTTTTAACACCCTGTAACTCACATCTGAATGCACCAGACAAAAAACAACGATATAATTTTTTACTGCGTAATGTCACCCTTCCAACGATCATAAATTTGAAATTGTTTGATCGATACTTTACGAGAAATCTATCTATCAGTACAGCGATTTGCCGAAAAAAATAATGGATTTCTTTTTCCCCAACCTAATATATATACTTAATTTATTTCTTATATTTCCAAATCCTGTAACTTTTTTGAAAATAAAGTAATAGTGAAATTGTTTTTTTTTTAACAAAACAATTTTTGCATGGCCAAAAGTTAAGCAACTATTTATTTTTTTATAAATAAGCTAATTTTTTCTAGTAATCGACAGCATAACCATTATTTTTGATAACGGCAGCACACCTACGAGGCATTGAATCTATAAAATGCTTGATTTGATCCTTGGGTATACCATTGCTTGTATCTTGAACCTTTGGGAAGAGATTATGTCTGTTTTGTTTGTGAAACTTTTTTGATTTTGCTATTTATGATACTCCAACCATTATTGACCCACTACCATTATTGACCCACCTCCATGCTTCCCAGTATTCTTGCAATACAGAAGCGTAAGCCTTTCTTTTTTCACCATCTCACTGTATTTTTTTTTTTTTTTGTGTCTGTGCCTTTAGTATTAAACTTTAATTCATCCGAGGGCATAATATTTACTTAGTTGGATTCCAATGAATATGGGCTTTTGCGAAATGCAATCAGGCTTTCCGATTTTTTCAGAAATGAAAGGACTTTTTGGTGGTATCCGGTCATGTAGACCTGCACATGTTATTGTAATAAAAACCATTTTAAAATGATATGTAAGAACTGAAATAGGTATAGAAACCAAAACATAGAAATTACAAAAAATAACTAAAATTTTAGAGCTCATATATTTGTACTGTAGATTTCCCTTAGTTTTGTCCAAGTAAAAATTGAGACAATTCCCTTATCCATAAATAATTATTTTTTCATAATGGATATTGCATTAATGCTTATGTTTTTATAAAAGTGAATAAAGTACCCGATTTAAAACTGAAAAACCAACACATCTTTATTTTTGAAAAACTTATGGGCCATTTATTAATCTCACAATTTTAGTCGCTTTAGTTTTGTCCACCAGTGTATGTTGAAATTAGCATAGGGCCCGGTAGTACAAAATAAAAAAAATGGCTGTTGCAAAAAAAATTACTCTGAAAAAAAATCATAATTGGGGGGGGGGAGGGGGCGGGCCCCCTGCGTACGTCCCTGTGGGGCGGTTTCGGTTAATAGGGACAATACCTAAACGTGGACTTAAACGGCATATACATTAGAACTTTTTACGGGGTTAACCTAAGGTATTGACAATTGAAACCCACTGGGCTAACGAAATCCGGTTAAATATAAACGTACTATTACATCTCCAATATTTTTCAATACTAAAATATGTAAAATTTCAAATATGTATTATGACATCTATCGTTATTTCAACAGACAGGCGGACAGACATGCCAAATTCGACATAGAAGTTTATTATGATCAGTGAGAATATATAGGGTCTCCAATTTAATATTCCGATGTATTGCAAACGAAATGATAAAATAAATATGCACACTTATTTCGATGTGTATTGTCTTGAAAATATCATTTAAAGAGAATATTAATAAGAGAATCAATAAATGCATATGAGTATTGGATAATTCTGGTTTTCTCTTAACAAAAGTGAGCATGCATAGTTTGGTTGTTTGCATTGATAAAAATAAAATATATTTTTACGAAGGTTTGTTCAAAGCTCACAAATCAACAATTATGTATATGATGATATGGCATCATTTACATGTCGCATTCCATGTTTTCTCCCACATAAATATGTATCATTAGCAAATTATTGGGAAAATTAACACCAATATCAAGTTCATTTTCTATTTGGGGAATTCCATGGATGGTTGAGTTGAAGTAAATGGTCCGTGACTAATATTATCGTAGTCAAATAATAAATTGGAGTTTAACAAATCATTTTATTGAAGAAAATCCGAAATGATAAATTAAAAACAAAACAATGGTATAAATTATCATATTACAATACCTTCTTACTAGGATTAGAATTATTTATTAAAATAACTATTTTGCTAGGATTAGATTTTTAAAGAATTATTTTATTTTACGATTATTATTTTCGTCAAGGAATATGAAGTACTAGATTATTTAACAATTATTGTTGAAAATGATAAAACATATGAGCGTTGGATTTTAAAGACGTTTTTCTAGTATGATCAGACCTATCAGCGTAAAGTTTTTAAATAATGCTTTTTATACCCTTCACCACACTGTGGTACAGGGTATTATGTCTTTGTGCATATGTTTGTAACAGGCAAAAGGAAACGAGATAGACACATGGTTCCTTTTGAGAATATGCATAGAATCACTTTTTAAGTCGATTTATGCATGTCCGTCCGTCCGTCTGTCTGTCCATGTTAAATTGTAAACAAAGTACAGGTCGCATTTATGATCCGAATTGGATGAAATTTGGCATAGGTCACTTATTCAGCCCAAGGACGAACCCTATTGAAATTGGGAAAAATCGGTTCAGATTTAGATATAGCTCCCATATATATATATTTTACCGATTTAATGTAAACGACCCCTATATAACTTTCAATTTGCACGAAATTTGGTACATCCTAATCATTTAGGTCTAGAATGATGTCTGCCTAGTTTCGAGAAAATCGGTCCAGATTTAGATATAGCTCCCATATATGGTTTCGTCCGATTTCATGTAAATGGTGCACTAAAGTCCCTATATATCCTTCGATTTGCACGAAATTTGGCGTAACGTATTTAATTGAGCTTAGAATTATGTATGCCAAGTTTCATGAAAATCGGTCCTGATTTAGATATAACTCGCATATATAGTATCGTCCGATTTCATGTAAACGGTGCACCAAAGTCCCTGTATATCCTTTGATTTGCACGAAATTTTTCATGACGTACTGAATTGAGCCTAGAGTGATGTCTGTCTTGTTTCGTGAAAATCGGTCCAGATTTAGATATAGCTCCCTTCTATTATAGATTGATTTCAAGTAAATTGGCCATCATACTCCTCATTTTAGTCAGATTGACATAAAATTTTGCACAACGTACAAAATTGAGCAAAGAATTACGTAGTTGCGTTTTCTTGAACGGATGACCTATTTATATTTGTTTGAAGTCGATTTACATACTTTATGGATAGATCTAGGTAGATTCACATTTAGATAAATATCACATATTTTATTTCATCCACTTTCATGTTAATAGTCCTGTTTAATATACCCATAGTGGTGAAGGGTATCATATAGTCGGCCCCGTCCGACTTTACTACTTTCCTTACTGGTTTTAAGATTATTTTTACAATGATCATCAAAGTTAGGAAGTGAAATTATTGTTTAAAAAATTCATTTGCAATGATTATCAAAGTTAAGACAGTGAAATCATTTCTTAGGGATTGATTCTTCCAAATTTCGATACGAATCTGTTCTATATTCACTAGAATTTCGATAGTTTTTTTTTTTTAATATTTTTACACCTCTCAAGATCCTCTTTGCTCCCGGATAATATCGATAATTTATAGTAAAACTTTTACACGTTCTACTCAAGCGGAAGTATTTACTACCCAACAAATATTCCCACCTCCCATTTAACTACCAACGAACAAAGAAAAACGGCGGCAAAGTTGCGTGTACATTCGTGGAATACATGGATGGACAACGTCATAGTACATAAAATACACAAACAACCAAAAAACGTTTACGCTTAAGCGTAAAAACCATTTGATTTGTAAAAATCCACTACGTTATACAATAGCAACAAATTTATTTTACAAGTTCACGGTTATATCTGGAAAATTTGTTGATGATACGATTTTAACCGAATTTTGTTTTTGTTAAGGTTCATAATATTTGCAATATAATTCAATTCTCTTAAATCCGCTTCTGATTCATTCAAGTATTCCGACCGTAGTGGGAGAGAACAAAACGTATTTACCGAACAAAGAACACAATGAGAACTAAACAACAGCAACGAATGGACTCACATCAACAGTGACGTACTAAGCCAACAATTCGTTTGTGGCAAGGTAGAGGTCTAAAACAAAAGCCGTCAAAAAAGCAAGTAGTTAATTGGCATTCCACAGAAACCCATTAATGTTGGCTGATAATATTGCATGCAAGAGAAAAATGTGGTGTATATGTCATGAAAGTTTTTGTTTTGTTTATTTTGCATTTGAATTTTGTCCATGAAAAGCTAAACCACTACAGTTGTGGACGAAATTTTGAAGATTGAATGCTAATGTTTATGATATATGTAGTCCTGAAAGTAAAATTGAATACAAGACACTTAGGTCATATTTTTCATATAACCAGACAAATTTCAATTTGTAAAAAATAAAGGTTTAAAAAACAATAACAATAATATTTCCTGCCTTCCTTCACTTATGTTAGTTGCTGTTGAAATCATTTATAATTACCTCCTTGTATACGAAGTAGGTATAATTAAAATTTAATTTATAATAATCGACCTACATTTCATATTGCGTAGGATTAGTCATTAGTGTGTATGTGACCCACATACATTGCCAATCTACCAATCCAAAAAAGGCTAAAATGGCAAATAGAATAAGGACGTAGTCGAAAATATATTGGTTATTACAAATGCAAATATTTTAAGGTTTTAATGAAAAACGGAACACGATACTAATTAACCGTTATATATTTCATAATAGTAAGGGTATATGCTAGTCCCAACGCTTTCGTCAACTATACCACATTTCATAACGAATATTTATGAATCTAAGCCGTAAGTACACGAAGTATAGACTTGGCCTCGCACGTCTATACTTCGTGTACTTACGGCCATGTAATATCCTAAACAATCCCCAGCATAAATATTCATTTATGTTTCAAGCGACTTTTTTATAAATTAAAAATGAAATCTCAAACTTTAGATTTACAAAACAAAATAGTTTTTTTTTATTATCTTCGTTTAGGTCTCTTATATTCATGTAAATTTCAATACGAAGGTACTGAGTTCTGTAATTATTTTCTATTATCTCCTTAAAATAAATTATAACAGGTGAAACACAAAAATGGTCCGATCTCGTACTTCTTAAACAGACAACTCATGTTCGGCAGCAACTTCAGCTTTATTTTTCTTTATACAAATTTTCGCCACACCGGAAGAACAATCCTTAGCTCCACCCATTAGAAGTATAAGCAGTCCTTTGTGTGCCATGGATTTGTAGATTTTAGAAACCCATTTGTTCACCTTTTCAATGGTATCTTCAAATGTAGCCGCAAGCAACTCTTCTTGTGCAATTTTCAGATTACATATGGTTAGGGCATTTTCCAATAAGATTTCCTTACATTTGCGTACTGCTTCTTTGTTCGACCCAACCTCATTAACCGCTACAACTTTGCCCGATTCGTTGGGGAAGGCTTCTTCGGCTTTTTGAAGTAAATCTTGTACAATATTTGGTAGGGGTTTACTTGTTATTATGGCCGTTCGTTTGTCTCGTTTCGAGGCATGAGCCAACATGTTGTTCCTTACAGCTTCACCACTGGCAGCCAACATTATCTCTTGCAATCTCTTCTTTTGCAATAAAATCTCATCACCATATTCCAGACTGTTTTTCAACTTCAGTTTGACCAGTTTAACACAGGAAATTGAATCTTCAGTGGAATCGTGACCGGCAACATTGGCCTGAATATTTTCCTTTAAGAACTCCAGAGCAAGTGTCTTCAACTTTGATTTTGCCCTGCCGCCTGTTATATTGAAGCAGACACTTGTGTCAATAATATAGGGATGCATCATTTTCATGGCATTCAAATCGAAATTCAGAGAATGGCCCACTAAGATGGCATCATTTGGAAGTACTTCTCGGACTTCTTTTTGCACTTGTGACAGTTTCTTTGTCACACTCCTCATCATTTCCTCTGTAATGCCAGAAAATTGAGTCAAATAATCGATGATTTTATTGTCTGGGCGCACCATCGACTCATAGACAGTTTGACAGTTTTCATCTACTATGGAAATTCGAGTCAATTCGTTTACGCCACTTGTTGTGTGACACATTTCACAATCCACACCGAAAAGTGGGCTACGATTGGTAACGGGAGCATATTTTTCACTAGTAAGTACGTATGAATTGTATTGCTTTCTAAGCTCTCCTTTCATGGGCATTGGGTAACCTTCTTCGACCATTTGCAAAGCTGATAAGAGCAGCTTAGTTCTGGGAAATTTATCCTCTGGATGGACATCGTCTGATTCTTTGTCGTCTTTAGAGTTCTCCACTGGAAATATAGATTTCAGTATCAATGTTGGATCTTTCTTCAATGCTATGGCCGCTTCCAGAGAGCCATATTTCGTTATAAGGTTATACGCTTGTACATTTGTCATTGGTACTTGCACCAATTCCTCTGCCATAAGGAAACCGTCTTCTTTTGTGTTGGGTGGCATAAGGACATCTAAACCTATATCGAAAATATTATCGATTTTCTCAAATTTACTCTTGTTGGAGAGATAGTGGAACAGCGAAAGGCCATCGAGGCACAGGACAACAGTGTGTGATACTTGTTCTGGTTTGTCGAAAAAACACCAACGATCTGGTTTACATGGTGATTTTTTACCCAGTAAAGCTGACATTACTAAATGCTGAATATCTGTTAGGAATATTGGACGTCTTTCTGTGTCTTTATAACATAGTAGAGCCTTTTCGCCAGATTCACGCATTCTCAGATATGGAACACTTTCCAATGCGCGTTTTCTTTCACGCAGTTCCTTTTGTATTTGTTTATACTGATCTTCAGTAAGTTGTACATTTTCCATTTGTCCATTTTCATTGTCTCCGTTTTCTTGTTTTGATTTCTTAACTGCCGGTTCCTCATCACTATTTGACTTGGATTTCTTTTTGCTCTTTTTATTTGTTACCTAGAGACGGGATAAATGGGGAGTGGTTATTTCATTACTGGACATCAACAACACGAACAATCTTACCTTTGTGAAACCATCATTGTCACCCTCCGGCTGGTCATTTATCACCTCATTATCCTTATCTGCCTTAGCCATTGTATCGTCCTCCTTTTCCTCCACTTGTTCCTTCCTGTCTTTATCGTTCGACTTGATTAAGTTTGCCAAAGCGGCCAATTTTTGTTTCTTACGTTCTTTACGTTCCAATTGTTTGGCTGACAGTGTCTGCATAACTAGAGGGCAGTGGCTAGTGCAAGGGCGAACGTTATATTTTAATTTTTAATTTATGAAAGTCCAGCCGAATACGTGGAAAATACAAAACAAAACCAGCCTTAAATGTCCATGTGTTCCCACAAAAAGCGTGTTTTGACAGGGTTGTTAGCAACCAATAAAAATTTAAAGACGTTCCACTTGCTAAAAAATGGGGGAGAAGACAAAATGACCGAAATATTTACGAATGAGGTGGGATGGAGACTGCACGAGAACAGCATGTGCTAGGGATGGCGACGTTGCCATATCTAATACAAATGTTTATTTATCGATAACATCGATAATTTGTAGCCTTTGTTCAAAAAAGGGTACCTATTTTGGGATTGTATGTAATTGGAAATATCTACATGTTTTGAAATTTATGAATAATTAGGGTTAATATCCTTTGATGCGATTACAAATTATCCTTCTCATCTGTAACCTCAGCCCATTGTGTAAAAGCAATAGGGCTGTTACAACAACAACATAAGTTGTTGTTGTAACACCTTTATTGTTTTTACACAACGGGCTGAGGTGAAAGACGTTTGGCCGAGTAAGACTCTGGTCGTTTCGGATCGTAGACCCCTCTGTCGTAGAAACGATATGTATGGATGAAATTCTTTTCTGTCATTTATCTGACGTTAACCCTTGAAACGTCAGGTGTCATTGAAAAATAGAAACCCCGCAAAGAGAGTCCTATTACAGGGAAAGTAAATCTAATTACTTTTGTGACCAGTCTAGACTATATTTGAAATTAAAAGGAAAATCTGTCCGTTTTTGGAAATTAGAGTAGAGCTATTCTAAAATTTTGATATCACTATTTCCAAAAGTATTAAGATTCCACCAAAATTCAGCATCGGATGCATGGCCATGCATCGGACGTTAACATTTTGAGATTTTTACTGAGGTATTTTTGAATTATCCAAGGAATATCAAAATGTCTATCCATGGTATAATAATAGAAGGTAACAGCAAGTGTTATTGTACAAAAAACGATACAACAACCACATGGAAATTTGTTGTTACAAGTTCTACTAGTGTCAACTCATTTGACAGAAAAATGTAAACAAACAAACAAATTTTCATCAAATTATTTTTATTTTGAAAATGAAATATTTTCGAATCCTCAAAATAAAAATTGAAAAACATGAATGAAAATGTATCAAATTTATATTTCTATCGCTTCCACATCTTTCCTATAATTGAACCATTGCCATATATACAGTGGCGAGCAGAAACGAGTACATGTTGGCATTTTGGACACTTTTTACGTCATAAAAATAAAACTAAAAATGCTATTTAAAAAATGTTGGTTGCATTTTATTGGGTTTTTTGTACTTAACGAAACAACCTAAATTTAAAAATCTAACTCTTAAAAATAACTAAGAAAAAATAAAGAAAACGAAATTAACCCCAATGTACTCACTTTTGCACGTCTGCATTTTTTTTAATAAAGTGCAGAAAAGGAATGTGAAATCACGTTTTTTTAAATCTTTTTTTGGTTTTCGTTAGTTTTTTTTAAGAAAATGTATAAGTTTTACATCATTTAAGTCCCGTTTACTAAAAACTTGTACAAAGTTTTGAACAAAAATCAAATAAATAACTAACAATAATAATTATAGAAGAAATATATATAATAACCACTGAAGAGTACATTCGGAAAAATCTGAAAAATCTGTTCTACCCTGGAAATTGCAAAGGGACTTAAATTGTGTCAATTATTGGTCATGTGGGTACAAAAACGGTGTTCCGTTGTTCCCAAACCTCAAATTAGAGGTCGTACACCGCTTATAAGATGTGTGGACCCACGTCTAATGATAAGGGAAATGTAATTTGATAAGTTTTAACACCAAAATATGCTTCGTAAATACTCGTCAAACCTCTTAGTCATTGAACGGCGTGAAGAGCCCTTCCCGACATTGGATATAGCAGCATTAAAAAAAGTCTAAAAACCTGTATTATAGGAAAAAAAACTGCAAAATAAGGGTAAAGACTTTTCAACTAGACCAAAAGTTGAACTGTGGTCGACTGGAAACGTGTGATTGGGTCCGACGAATCCAAATTCAACCGTTTTCAATCCGACTATAAGCATTATTGTTGATGAAAACTAATTCAAAAGTCCAACGTGAAGCACGGTTGAGGAATCGCCATGGTATGCGTAGGCTTTAACTTGTGGGTCCTGGACCGATGTTAAAAAAAATTGACAATATAATAATGAAAGAAGTCCATTTAGATCATTGTAGAAGTTATTATGTGCAGGACTGTGATCAAAGATATACGTCAAAATTCGTGAGAGAATATCTTCGTGAGCAAAATTTTGAATTAACACAGTGGTCAGCACAAAGTTTCGACATTAATCCGAACGATAATTTGAGGCCAGTCGCAAAGAGAGAGGTGGGACAGTACCAATCAGCCCCTAATAATTTAGACGAACTTTGGTAGTGGATCTGAGGTGATTGGAAGAATAATTCCAATGAAATTGCACTAAAATTGGTTGAAAATATGTCAAATTGCATAAATGATACATTAAAAATATAAAACTATGGTATAATTAATAAAAATATTCAAATTCTGCAAATTTGTTCAAAAGTGCAAAAGTGAGTACATTGGAGTTGATTTACTTTTTTCTGTTTTTTTCTTAGAAATTAAAGAGTTAAAATCTTTAACTTTAGGTTGATTTGTTAGGTACGAAATACCTTATAAAATACAACAAAAATTTTGGAATTTGCTTTTATATTTTTATGACGTAAAAAGTTTCCAATGTACAAGCATGTACTCATTTCTGCTCGTCACTGTATGTGTAACATATATGAAAATGCTGGGAATAGCGAATTATTCCTTGAAGAAAGATTTGCTTCCTCAAACTTTCCCAGCAGGCAGATTGAGTAAATTGAATACAGGAGCACATTTAATAAAGAACAATTTCAAATTGTATGCGTTCCCAATTTTCTTGTTGGGTGATTTTTAAAAACATAATTTGTCAAATTCATATTGACACTAGTACATGGTACAATTATAAAAGGTAACAGCAAGTCCCAGCTGATTTGATTCTAACGTAACACTAGTGCCAATATGAATTTGACAAGTTATGTTTTTAAAAATCACCCAACAGGAAAATTGGGAACGCATACTATTTGAAATTTTTCTTTATTAAATGTGCTCCCGTATTCAATTTACTCAATCTGCCTGCTGGGAAAGTTTGACGAAGCAAATCTTTCTTCATGGAATAACTCGCAATTCCTAGCATTTTCATATGAGCTACACATATAAGAGGCAATGGCTCAATTATAGGAAAGATGTGGAAGCGATAGAAATATAAATTTTATAGATTTTCATTCATGATTTTCAAATTTTATTTTGAGGATTCGAAAATATTTCATTTTCAGTATAAATATAATTTATTTGTTTGTTTACATTTTTCTGTCAAATGTCGTTGACACTAGTATAACTTACAAAAACAAGTTTTCATGTGGTTGTTGCATCGTTTGTTGTACAACAACACTTGCTGTTACCTTCTTTTATTATACCATGACACTAGTATTACGTTGGAATCAAATCAGCTGGGATTTGCTGTTACCTTTTATAATTGTACCATGATGTCTATCTATGGTAAAAATTTCAAAGTTTTCTGAGATGTTGCCACACATTTGTTTATAGGTTGGATCCCATTTTTTTAATTTGTTTTTATCTCATTCTAAAGGCCATTGGATTCCATATGTTCATGACAGCTGCGACAACAGCTGTTATTCATCGTTGCCTCATCCTTCATTCGTCAACAATAGAGGCGAACTTGCCTCATTTTGCTCCAATCGGTGAACAGTTCCTATGAACGAGTTCGTTCCGTAACAGTATATAGCTCCAGTCCACAATGTTAAATACCTTAAATACCC